TTTAGGGTTTAGGGTTTAAGTCTTCGTAGCTGAGCCCTTGGTTGTTTTGGGGTTTGGGCCTTATAGAAGACAAGACCAAGTTTTTCGGGGGGTGTTGTAGGGCTTTTTGGGGTTTTAGAAGGGTTTGCTTTGCAGGGTCTTCAACAAACCTTCGTCCCTCAGAGAACCCTTACAGAAATCCTAAATTCCAGGACCTCAAGCACATCACGCACGTGATTCGAAGGCCCCGTTAGGGCTTAGGCCGCAGGTTCTCGGGGGGGGGGGGGGGGGGGTCTTAGCGTCGAAGGGTCTTCGGGTCTGAGCTGTAGGGTGTGGCATTCAGTTGGCTTAGTTTTTGTTTGATTCGGTGGGTTTTCGGCGGGTTACCGCAAGGGTTGCGAATGGGGGCAAGTTGCTAAAGACGGAAAGTTTTAATGGCCGTTATATGGGCCCTTATACGGAATCCCTGCAACCTCAAACCTCAACGCTAAACCCTGAACGTATGGCAATGTTGGTCAGCTGTTGTGGAGTGCCTGTCGGCATGACACGAGTGATCCTAGCACTGGCTCTGGGATAGCCAATCCGGCAACCGACTTGACCCTCAAGAGCACCATTCTGCAAGCCTTTGAAGCGGGAATCGGGTTCCGGGCTCCATCATAGTATAGGCATATTGGAATGATAAAGACCTCTGTCTCAAGCCAGCCTCTGCGCGGTCTTGAAACTGTCTCTTCCGCAGTGCCACCGACGTGCTGACGCGGGGGCAGGAGACGGCGAACTCAGGCGTGCGGAGTGTTCTGTGCCAAGCGGACGAATACAACCAGCAAAATGCCACCCGACAAAGCAAGTTAGCAACGAAGATCACCAACATCATTTAACATCATCACCATGAGCATGGTCGTTGCAGCTACTAGTTACCACTGCGACGACGGCGACTACCTGCTCTGCTGATACTATTGCGCCGATAGCGACGAACTACTCGCCAGCTGCAATGGTCCTCCCAATGAGCCCGAGACTGCTTTCAATCATCATCCATCATCCATAATTATTCGGATTTCCCAGTAGGGTGGTGGAAGCTGATCGTGCGTTGCCTCTTGACGTCGTGTGTCGTCCTCTTCCATGTTTACATCCGGCAGAGGGAGGCTGAAAGCACCACGCTGCAACTCTGCTTTTGCATCATTGTGTCTGCCATTGTGACTCTACCTGAATGTTTGTGCTGCTGCGGTTCCGCATCTAGTCATGATGTCAGGTAGTTCAAGCCGCAGCTAGCAACAGCACTAACAGCAGACAAGGATGGTGAGGTCGGCGTAGATTTGCATGTTGCGCCGTGTTTTAGTTTACCCGCCCAACGTACGGTATGGACGGATTCCCAAGTGTCATTCCATGTCTTCATTGTCCTGGTTCCGCATGGTCATGGTCGGTCTGTCCTCATCTCTGTTGCTCTGTGGATGCTCTCAGGATCGCCATCTGGCTGAAATTGAAGCAGTAAGCAAGAAGGGTTGCTGCGCTCAAGGCACAACAACTTCAATCGAGCAAGACATCCTTATCTGGCAGCACCTGGCCAGGTCAACCGTCTCTTATCACAGCCCACAAGATGTACACGGAAGGAGACCTTTCTGCCAATCTGGCTGATGTTCTCCACCGAGGGTGTGTGTTAATTTGAAGAGGCTCTGCGCACACACGCCTCTGTTCTGGGCAGCTAGTCAGTGAGCTTGGGCTGCAACTTGTAACCGACAACAGTCCCGAAACCCCACACCCCGAAACACCTAGACACTAACACCCCCAAGTCCTACCAGGCGGGGTCGGGGTTTAGGATTGCCATGGCGGTCATCTGCGAGCCGAAATTCAACATTGGCGCTTCGTCGATCTTCGATGCTGACTTCGAAGCTTGCTCGGACGAGGCTGCGAGAGGATTTGTTAGTAGCAGACTAGAGTATAAACATACTATCTAGTTTCGGGCTACGATAATTTCTAGAGCATATAACCGTTAACCGCTGTAGGGTACGATAATCCCTTTCTACTTGAAACTGTTAACCTCCAGTTCCCTATAAGAAACCGGTGTGGCCCTAAACCCTAAACCCTCAACCCTAAACCCTAAACCCTAAACCCTAAACCCTAAGGCGTTGGGTTTGCAGGACTTTGGATTTCCTCGTGCTCTTGGCCGGTGGAATTTCCGGGTCCCCCGATCATCTCTCCTTCAGCTCCTGTGGCCTAGGGCTGGCCTTCTGCTTCCCTTAGAGTCGTTTTTTATGACTAGGTTTAGGGTTTAGGGTTTAGGGTTTAGGGTTTAGGGTAACTAATACGATCCATTGAGAAGAGCCCTAGTCAGATGCCCTTGAATTCATTAAGAATCCAGTATTAGCCAGGCCCCGGGCGCCTAGAAATAGGATTCAACATTTTGAGGGGCTCGTTTGGGGATGAACTGGGACGACATCATCTTGGTGAAGGTCTTCTCCATACAGGGTTTAGGGTTTAGGGGTTTATGGTTTAGGGGGCCTGGATGGAAAGAGCATCAAGTGAAGACCTTTATCAACTAAGCACCAAACCAGGACTTTCTCCGTACCGTCGAATGGCCCCCCCCCCCCTCCCGATGGAAGTATTTACAGGAAGGTCTTATAGAGGGTAGATGGAGGGTCTCGGAACATACCCGAAACCAACAAAGCTCGCCTAAACCCTAAACCCCAAACCCAAAACCCCAAACCTTAAACCCTAAACCCTAAACCCTGAATGAAGAGTAAGAGCTAAGAGACTCCCGAGCCAGGAGTTGCTGGAGCGTGTGACGCAGCTCCAGGCCCTGGGATTCAGGGGGTTTCGGGGTCTCAACCACCTTATAGCCATGCCCATGAACTCTCCTAAACCCGAAACCCTAAACCCCTGAACCCCTAAACCCTAAACCTAAACCCTAGACCCTAAGCCCTAAACCCTATCCCACGGGACAGAAATCGCCCTTTGCCGCAGGCCGAGGTTCGCCAGCGCGCACTGCGCGAGCGCCGGAGCGGCTGCTTGGAGACGCGGAAGGGCGTGCAGCGCCTGGGCGAAAGCAGGGAAGACAGGGGTTTAGGGGTTTAGGGGTTTAGGGTTTCTTAGGGGTTTAGGGGTTTAGGGTTTAGGGCTTTAGGGGTTTAGGGTTTCGGGTTTTCGGGTTTCGGGTTTAGGGTTTAGGGTTTTAGGGTTTAGGGTTTAGGGGAGGGTCCCTTTTTGGGTCCCCAATGCAGAACGGCACCCTTATAAAAAGGACCCCCAAAAGGGACCCTTATTTAGAACTCCCCAGAAACAGAGACAGAGCCCATGGCCTAATTATGGGGGTTTTAGGGCTTAGTTACCGGGTTAGTTTTTGGGGCTTATCATGAGGGAGGTGTTGCGCGGCTTTGCAGGCGTGTTACTGTCCTGTCAGGGGTTTTACGAAGGCTTCGTTGGGGCATCACTGAGAGGGGAAGAAACATCACAACAAGCAGAGCGCAGCCAGGTTTGTGCTGCAGCTTCTCTATGAGGGCTGTATACTTATAAGGGTTGTATGAGAGTTTGGGGCTTTATCGCTGGGGGTTCACGATTTGGGGTTGTAGGGTTTGATGGTTGCGAGGTTTGAGGGTTTGAGGGATTCAGAGTTTGGGTGATTTGGGTGTGGAGTGCCAGGGTGCAGGAGGCTTCCATTTCGAAAGGTTTAGATTTTAAGGGGTGTCTCAGGCCCTAAACCCGAAATCCGAAACCGTAGGAGTTGAGATAGAAGTTGTATTAACTATTATGTCACCTGGAGTGTCCCAACGGACTCCAAGCTTTCTTGGGTTCGTTGCTCTCCCGTTCCAAGCAGACAGGTACTACCTACCGTGGGGTCTAAACTTTAAACCGTGATATCGGGTCTGAACAAACTGTAACATAACAGCATATGCTTATAGTCCTTATACAGCTCTATCTCTATAATCATTCAGGCCCCTTTACTGCGTTGAGTGTTAGCGTTTCTCTCGGCATGCCGACCGAGGTGTGCTCAGTGCGGATCTGCAGGCCCGGAGCATTGAGCTTGCTACCCTAAACCCTGAACCCATTTCTTGAAGGGCTAACATAGGAGCTGGGATAATTCTGCTACGGTTAAAGCATGCTGAGCATAGGGTTCAGGGCTAAGCGTTTCGGATTCAGGGTTTAAGGTTCGGATCTAGGTTTGGCATGCCCTTTTTTTTGTTACCATTTGGGTTGAGGAGTTGTGGGGGCTTTTAGGGCTTTTTGGACTAGGGTTGTGTATCGTGGGCTGGGGGGGTGGAGTCATCCCAAGAAGGCTACATGTAACCCTACCAATACTACTGACCTGATTGCTAGATTGATCCGCTTTTCCATCGATTCATTCAGTCACGTTTAGTGTTTAGGGTTTAGCCCGAAGTATCAGGGAGGGAGCAGGTTGGAAGGAAGGGCGACAAGTAGTCATAGCTCCTCGAACCCACTCAGGGCACGTCTATATTATATAAATAAATAAATAAATAACTATATATATATATATATGTGTGTGTGAGGAAGGGGTCAAATAGTATGTAAAGGTGTCTGTTACATATATATATATATATATATCTTTGGGAACCCTAAATCCCAAGCCTCCATCCCCAAACTCCAACCCGGAAGCCCTGTAGCATCTGAAGGTGAGCCCACATCACTGGTCCTCGATGGCCCGCTGGGGAGGGGTATTGGTTTACTGAGGGCTTGGGCTTCGACGGATGTCTTGAGGTTGATAGGGTTGGTGGGTTTACAGGGTGCGGAGGTTTTCAATTGAAACTGTTTGCAATTAAAAGCAAGATGTTAGCTGCTTACAAGGTTTAGAGGTTTTTTTGGGCCTGGGGTTTATAACAACCTGGTGGTTTACATTCGTACAGCTGGAACTTCCTCCTGCAGTTGCGGCACCAGAGGATCGCATGGCTGTGAAGATTTAAGCTCGCGTTTGTTCGAAGAGTTTCGTCTCTTATTGTGCCAAAGCCCTTTCGGCTCAGGTCCCTGATCTTCGGTCGCGTCCTTCGTGTAGTGGAATGCTTGAGTGATCGTGTTGGCATTTTGGCACTGCTCCATCGGTGCACCCTTACTGCTGCTGTTGTATATTTCTTGGTACGTCATCATGATGTGTCATGGGTGAGTAGTGCATTCCTCAGCCAGAGCCTACTGACTCTCGATTCTCGACATCTGTGCTGTTTTGCAGCGCGTATGGATTGCGTTGTATCGCCTTAATTTGGTGGGATATCTTACCATCTGGAAGAGGCAATACATACCTGTTACCTCGGCATAAAATCATCCTAAACATCGCTTTAGACAGCTGCCCTCCCCCCTCTCACGCTTTGATACTGCCGGCTTGGGTTTTTCGGCGTTTGCGCAGTTGAAGGTGATATGAAAGGGTGTTGTTTGCAAGGGTTCTTTGGCGAAGATGAATTTCACAAGGGGCTTTGAACCCTTTCTAGCATCTGCCAAGTAGTACAGTAAACCCTATAAAGAACTCGACACCCAAGATACCCTAAGCACTGCAAACACCATACTGCCCCAAACCCTAAATCCCTAAGCCTCGATCATATGGGAGTTTCCGAAAATACGGGACCCTAATATAGTACCCTAAATAGTAGGACCCTTACTATAAGGACCCCAAAATAGGGTACCCCTAATTTTCGGAAACTCTCATATGAACCCCTATAGAGCCAGAAACCTTAACCCTGAACCCTAAACCCTAAACCCTAAACCCTAAACCCTAAACCCTAAACCCTAAACCCTAAACCCCAAACCCTAAACCCTAAACCCTTAACCCGTCACGTGTGCCAGATGAC